AGTGACCGCTGAAAAAGGAGCTCAGAACAGGCTGGGCTTCTCTGTCTCCAGTCCTCCTCCAGTAGACCATAAACTTGCTGAGGTCAGGAGTCATGTCTTCCACTGACCCTCTGTCCCCACCAATGGTCTGGTTTATTCTCCACAGAGCAGCCAAAGTAATCCTTTTAAAAGGTAAATCTGACTGTGTCTTCCATCTGCTCAAAAACAAAAACCTTGAAAAAAGTGCAGTGGTCTTATAGCTTTTTACAATGACCCGCATGGTTTGACCCTTGGCTAAATTTTACCTCTCATCTGTCCCCCATTCCCTCACACTTTGGTCAGTCACAGTGCCCTTTACAATGTCCACTGAGCTTGCCAAGCTGGCTGCTGCTTCCCGGCCTTGGGACTTGCTGTTCCTTTGGGCTAAAGGGATCTCCTCCATATAACCATGGCTTGATCTCTCTCTTTATTCAGTTCAGAGTCCTGTTTGAGTGCCACCTCATCAAGGACGGCTTCTCCACCTGAAATAGTTCCCATCCGTCACTCCAACACCTCTTGTCGTTCTATGTCTCCTTACTCATCTCTATTTTTCTTTAGAATGCTTACCAATTCCTGGAGTATGTGCTCTCTCTCTCTCTCTACATACATACAAACATAAACATACACACACGTACATATAGGTATATGTGTGTGTATGTGCATGAACACAATTTCCATGAAAACAGGGATTTTTTTTCTTTGTTCACTGTTATACCATAAATGCTCATAAGACACTCATCAGACAGTCAGAGGACCTGGATTTTAACCTTGGCTCTGCTGTCAACCTTGAATCCAGCACTTGTGGATTATGCCAACATCTTCCCACCAAACTGTGCCATCACCATAACCTCATTCTGAACCACTGATAAAGATTCTTTAAGAAAAGTAAGACAATAATGGGCAGTTTAGAGGAAAAGAGCTGAAGTTATCATCAATGGAAGGTGATCTCTGGCTACGGAGTAACATCTCTGGATATTTGGCCCTACATAGAAAGAGACTCCGGTTGCCATTTACATGCATGGGTACATCTAGTTATTGTTTACTTAATTCGTAAGCTCACAGAAGGCTTCTCTTCAGGATGAAGCCTAGAAGGATTACAGTAAATCAAGAGTATAAAATACTCAATCTGTTTATCAACACTTGTTTCTATGGTTTCAAATAGGATTTGCTGATGCTAAGCTCTGAGATAGGGGTGACCTGCATTGCTGTTTGCAGACAGCACTAAGTCGCACCACAAGAGGCATACAGTTTTTGAATCCAAGGGATTTGTTGTCCCTTCCAAATAACTAACTTCACTTAATAACAACTATTCCTATTTCTAAGATCTGAAGCATAGTGAGTGCTAGTCTTGATATAGTCTATTTATCGATCTGATAAGATAGAGACACATTTTCCTTTGCAAGACAATAAAAAGAAATTGGAAGGGAAGAGAACCAATATTGAGTGCCTACTAAGTATATACAAACTGGAGATAAAATTTTGAGAGTCATCAAAATATAGAAGGAAATGAAGCCAAGAATGTAGATGGGATCACGGAAAAGACCACAAAGAGAGAAGAGGTCCAAGAATGTAGCTGTGATGAACTTTGTTGTTAGTGACAGAGAAAAGGATCATAGGCCTGAAAAGGAGATTAAGAAATAGTCAGAGATACAGAAGTAAAACTGGGTGAGGGTGACATTCTGGCAAGCCAAGAAAAGAGAGTGTGGGAAGGAGAAGGAGTGATCATTGGTGCCACATGGAGCTGAGAGCTCAAGGAAGGGGACTGGAAGACATCCCGTGGTCGCCGAGGACCTGAACAGTAAACGTTTCAGGGGCCGATGGTGACAGAATCAAACTGGAGTGGGCAAGGGAGGAGTGAGGAAACTGACCAAGAGTACAGGCAATGCTTTGGAGCAACTTAGCTCTAGATAGAGGGAAAAATACAGAGAGGTAGCTGGAAAGCGGGAAGAAGTCAGCTGGCATGTGAAGAGACGTGGGATGTAAATCCAGTCTGACTCTAAGATTGAGTTCTATAAATTACTGCTTCTGGACCACACTGTGCTACTGTTTCTCTGGGTTTACATGCTAATCCACAAATCCTCCCTTTCTTCCTATTTTCAATCAAAACTACTCACATGAGGCTCAGCTACAGAAGAAAGTTCCGGACATTTTGAGTTATTTCATTGCAAAGTCTAACCTATCCCTTAGATTTGCGTTGAGGTCTAAGATCTTCAGAGACTGGCATTTCCACGGTCTACTTTCATCCTCATAACACCTGGAAAATGAATTAAGCAGGGTGGGATCATTGTAATTTTATAGGTGAGGAAACTGAGTCACCAAGACATTGATGGCAGAATTGGTACCAGAAGCCAAGACTTCAGTCCAGTGTTCTTGCTACTCCATGAGAAGGCAGGCAGGTGATGGATGACTGACATCTGCTGCTTAACCCTAGAACAATCCCCTCCAAAATGTCCTCCTCTTTTATAATCATTAGTAATAGTAGTAGAAGTAGTAGTAGTGGTTGTTGTCATTGTCATCGTACAGTTTACAAAGCCTTTCCAAATACATTGCTTCTGTAAACTCAAAATAAATTCTCAGAGCTATCCATGGCTGGTTTTCTCATGTCTACTATCCCATGTTCTGATAAGGAAACTAAGGTTCAAACAACTATGTATGTGGGAGCTGAGATTTGAATCTAGATCTCTAAACTCTACATCTGTGCTCTTTCCTTTGGGTTAGTGGTTTTAAAATGCTGGATCCCCTCACGAATTTGATAAAAGCTATGGCCCCTCTTCCCAGAAATGTACATGTAAGTATATAATCAACAAAACTCTGCACACAATTAAGGGGTTCCCTGGTGATCTGAGGTTAGGCATCCCTCTTCTAGGTTATGTGGTCTCTAAGCCAACTAAAGTGCTAGTTATTGGCTAAGTGGTATGATCCCTGTAGATGGTAATGACATTGTAACTAGAGACTCGTAGAAGGGAAAGCTTATGAAACTTTTCTCAAACTCCTTGGTGGGATCAATCCTCCTCTGCACCCTGATGACACAGAGTTTACATTCTAGTCAGTATGCACTTCATTCTGCTCTGTGCAGGTGTGCCTCCCCATAAGAACAGACGTCCCTTGGTGGAATGAAAATGTCTAATACGAGTAACTACAACAACTTTTATCACTACCACTACCATTTACTGAATATTTATTATAGCTCAGCAATTGTTGCTATATCCCAGACACTATTTGAATTCATTTAATTTTCTCAACAACCTTATGAGGTGTTTACTGTTATTATTTTTCTGTACAGTGAAGTACTAAGGCACAGTGAGGTTAAGTACATTGCCCAGGGTAACAAGCTATTAAAGGGTGCAGCTGAGACAGGCAATTTGGCTCCAGGATCTAGGATAGTAACCGCCACCTTCGACTACCTCCCTTTTGCCAGGTACTAGCTACATGAATGGGGTTTCTCTGAAAAATATTATAAAATACCTTACTTTTGTTAAAAAGCCCAACCACTAAGCATTATTATCATGAAATTCATTCAATAATTATTCTTCAAACTTCTTATTTCAAAATAATTTTAGATTTACAGAAAAATTGCAAAACTAGTATACAGACTTCCCCCATACCCACCATCTAAGAAGTTAACATAAATACAGTATTATTACTAATCTCCATACTTATTTGAATGCTGACAGTTTTCCCCACTAATGTGCTTTTTTCTGGCCAAGATCTAACCCATGATCATACATTGTTTCTAGATGTAGTAGCATCTTAGTCTCCTCAAATCTGGGACAATTCTCTAGTAATTCCTTAAGCTTCCTAATCTTTGAAGCATATTGGCTAATCATTTTGTAGAAATTACTTAGGTTAATTCTTTTCTTTCCCAAACCCCTATTAGTATGATCATGCTATTTATTATTAATACTATAGGTTTATTTTTTTCACTGTTTGTATTTCACCCCCACCACACACATCCATCTATCTATCTATCTATCTTTTATTTATTTTCAGGGGGACATGAAGCATCATCATGATTCTAAGAGTATGAGTTATATAAACAGGTATACTCAAAGAAGTGTCGCTCCCTCCTACTACCCTGTTCCCATTTCCCCATTATTTCCATCCCATTCCTACCCCACCTCCTGTAGGTAACAACCTCATGAGTTTCTAGTTTAACTTCCCTATATTTCTTTTGCATAAATGAGTAGGTACACATATATTTTCTTATATCACCTTCTTTTTACATAAAAAAGAGTATATTATAAACACTCCTTTATGGACTTCCCTGGTGGTGCAGTGGTTAAGAAGCCACCTGCCAACGCAGGGGACATGGATTCGAACCCTGGTGAGGGAAGAACCCACATGCCGAGGATCAACTAAGCCTGTGTGCCACAACTACTGAAGCCCACGCACCTAGGGCTCGTGCTCCGCAACAAGAGAAGCCACCACGATGAGAAGCCCACGCACCACAATGAAGAGTAGCCCCCGCCCGCCACAACTAGCGAAAACCTGCATGCAGCAACAAAGACCCAACGTAGCCAAAAAAATAATAAATAAATAAATAATATACCCTGCTTTCTTCACTTAACAATATATTCTGGAAATCGCTCCTATCAGCTACTATCCTGTTTCACAGATGAAAAGACAGGCTTAAAGAAGTTGAATAACTTGCCCAAGGTCACATAGTTATTAAGGAGAAAAACTGGAGTTGAATCCAAAGAAACTTTGACTCAAAAAATCCATGCTCTTCCTTCTATGTCAGAGCTTCTCAACCATGATTACTGGCATATTCTTGGAGGACCTCTAGTTTTTTTGTGGATTCTCTTAGATTGTTTTGAAAATTAATACATGTGTGTCCTGGATCATCCAGATGACTATCTCATAACCAAGTACTGCCAGGCATTCTCATTGCTCACAGGATCTGAAAATCATGCAGCTCCTAAAGTCAGTGCCCCTAATGTGGTCGGGCATGGAAAACTGTAGAGACCAGAGGGAGCTGTTACCTGGCTGTGGCCTTGGCTTGTAGTTCAGGGAAGGCAGCATGGCCCTGCACCATGTGATCTATCTGAAAAACAAGAGAGAGGGGTCAATTTTATAGCTTCTCTAGTCTATGTTAAAGCCAGAAGAAGATATATTAAAATGTCTGTTTCGTTCAATTCTTTGTCTACAGAGGATCCAAGAATATTAAAATGCTAACTCAGCAAGAGTGTCTCAGCTCTTTCAGAAATCTAGCTTTGTTTAACCAACTGCTGGCCTCTTGGATTTATAAAAACAAAGAAGTTTAAAGAGAAGAACAGCAGGAAAAGAAACTCCCAAGGCTGAACTGGTAGCAGCAGGTAGTATCAGGTCCAAGAACGAGGTTTGACAGAGGCATGAGAAGGAGGTGTAACTCAGGGTAAATGAGGTAGAGGGGGGCCGGCCTGGGTGTTAAAAGCACAGGCCTCTGGATTACATCATCTCCCCCTCTGGTTACCCCACGCTGTTACCCCAGGGCAATGTCAGACCTTGAATTATTCTCTGTGTCTTACTAATGGAGAAGTTGAGTGAAACAGTCTATGAGGAGGGAGTCCCAGTTTAAAAAACACAAAAAAGAGCTGCCCCAGAGCTGTCAAGAGAATCTCCCCTGACTGAGAAGTTATCGCATGGGAAACTGGGACAGAGCTCTCCAAGGACAGAAATGTCTGAGCTCTGCAGACAACCATCTTCTCATTTGAAATTCCACGTCTAGGATTTATTCCTTAATCCACTCGGTGGCTCTAAACAAAATAATATGCACTATGCCATCAGGAAGGGATGTGTTTCCCCATGCTGTGACTCTGCTTGCTAAACCACACCCAACAATGGGCTTGAGTTCCTGAACCTAATCTGTGTATTGTCTCAACGTTTACATGAATCCCCAAAACAACCATTCTGATCTATTTATTTTCATTCAAACTACGAACAGGCGGGTTATTGTGGCCTCATGGGGATAGTTTCTCTGAGCATGCTTCCTGAGCGTCAGGTCTGTGTAAAGAGGACGAGATTTTGTTCTGGAGTCGCCGAGGCTGGGTCTGGGTTCTGGCTCTGATACTAACTAGCTATGTGACTTTGTGCAAGTCACTTATCTGCTCTGAGCTTCAGCGACCTCCTCTCCCCTTTACCCCGTTCTAGTCTCCTTTTAAAACAGGATTTCTGTGACACAGAATGTGCCTACCATAATGCCAACAACAGAACAAATGATATCACCTAAAATTTATTGACTCATTTACCATATACCAATACTAAGCTATGCATTTTACATACATTATCTCTTTTATTTCTTACAACATTCCCATGGAGATGAGAAAACCAGGACTAGAAGAGATTAAGTAACTTGCCTAAGGTCATAGGGGAGTGAGTGACAGATCTAGGTTTCAAACTGAGGTCTCTCTGTATCTAAAGTCCTTGGTCTTAACTACCATGTCACACTGTCTACTCAACTTCCAGGTATAAGTTGTCAAATTCCATCGTGTAGAAATGTGTCAAAATAATACCAAAGCAACTGGTGATTTCAAGGGAAAGAAAATCACCCAGGTTTTGAATATTTACTTGCTGAAGGTTCAGTTTTGGGTTACTGCAATGAGGCATAGTTTGGACCTTAAAGAGTTTGCAATCCAGTCAGAGCATCACAATGAAGCCACTGGCATCAATAATGGATAATTAAAGCCATTACTTGATTTGAGGCTAGTTTCTATGGGAAGTGCTTCAGGAGGTCAGAGAAGGGAGATTTAAATGAGCTTCCCGGAGGAAGCACAGAAGCTAGCATGTGTCCCACATGCATGAATGCAGTTATTTGCTATTTACCGAATGCCTAATACACCAGGTACTGGGACTAGGCTCTGGGATAGAGTGGAAAATAAGAAATACATACAAGAGCACAAAGCAAGAAGTCAATAATTTGGCAATTACTGTATAGTTGTATATATAATATTTGGCAATTATTATATAGTTGTATATATAATAATTGCCAAGAACAGGCAGTTTGGAGCAGTAAAGGGCTAGAGGCAAGGGATACCAGAAAGGAGGCTGTGATGAGATATGAAGACGGAAAGACAAATCTGGGTATAGACAGTAAGAAGACTGGTATAGCCCTGAGACTGGCATATCATAGATGCTCAATAAGTATTTGTTGGATAAATGTGGGATGTACAAACCATAATGGACCACATGCCCACAGAATACCATGTACTTCTTGGGAGCACTTACCACGCTTTGTATTTGTGTCTGTTTGTGTGGGGCACACATTGGTCAGAGGGTAACTGTATGTTAAATTAGAGAATAAATGAAGTGGTGAAAATATGGATGCATGAGGAGGGTATGGACAGACAGTGGTTCTTAAAAGTCAGATAAGTGACTATTGTTTTACTGAATTGTAGGCCACAGGAAATTATTTCGATTTGTGGAGCAAAATAATGACAAGTTAAGGAAAATTAACCCAGTAGGGTATGTACAATGGGGAGATGACTAGGCACAGAGGGTAGGAAACACAGACAGGGCTCAGAGGCTGACATTGGGAATACAAGGCACGAATATCCCCTGTCCTTGCTCTATTGCAGCATTTATCAAGTTCTTCAATAACGATTAGTTTATATGTCTATCTCTTACCTTACACTCTGAGCTCTTTCAAATCAAAAACCTCATTATTTCCCATTCTTCAGTGCCTACAATGCCTGGCATCTCGAAAGAATGAATGAGACACATTTTGAAGAAAATAAAACAAAACTTAGTGACTGAGTAGTTACAGAGCATAAGAAAATCAGAGTGAAAGGACGGCTTTGAACTTTTGGGTCTAATAAAAGGAAATGTGGTCATTTTAATCATGTCTTTTTATTTTTCTGTATTTGTGATGCTTTGGGATCTGGGGCCCTGTTGACCCTGGAGAGACTGTCCTTTCCAGGGCTCAATTCCTAGAGATAGTAAAGGACCCCACTGGCCTGTAAGCATGCCTTTCATATGCAAACTGACTAATACAGAGCACACTTTCTCACCACCACCTCCTCTATTTCCCTGCTCTAATCACCCCAGAGCCAGGTACCAGACAACTAGGGACAACCTTAGTGCTTCCCATTTGGCCCTGCATGGTTTAGCCAGCCCCCTCTTCTGGAGAACTGTGAGTAACAAACTATCCTTTCAGTGGCAATCATCTCCTGATCTGCTGGCCTCATCATACCTGAATAATAATAAAATCTACATTTTAAGACAGTAGCTGAAAACACGGGCTTTGGAAACAGACTTAGGTTCAAAACTCATGGTCTATACTTACACTCTCTGCTACCTAAGTTACTTGACCTCTCAGAGCCTCTTCTCTTACAACTGTAAAATGTGGACAGTAAAATTTGCTTTGCAGGGAAGGTTGCAGTGAGTGATATACAGGTGGCTTTTAGATCGTAACACCTGTTATTAAAGAGAAGGAAGTACCACCAAAAGAGTAAAAATGGTTGGAAGAACAAGACCTTAAAAGGTCAGCTGCAGTTTTGTTTTTTTTTCCCCACAGCATCTGATGACAAAGGCCCACCCTGATTAACAAAGAAGGAGCCAGTTTGTCAAATAACTGAGTACTCATTTCAAAAGCCTGGAGTGCCTGTTGCAAGGGCTGATCTTTCTACTTCTGTTCTCTGATACATTTAGCACAGTACAGAAGATCACAGCGTCCCATTAAGTGGTTATTTGTTTCCCAATAACAAGTGTGACGACAATAACTATATTTGCCAAGTGGCTGCCTTAGAAATATATAGACAGAACCATCCTGACTCTATGACTCTTTCCTTGTTTCCTCCATCTTCTGAGATGTCCGCTCTGAGAGCTGGCAGCTGTAGGAGAAGGCAGAAAAGGCTACAAACTATTTGGATAGGTAGGAAGCTTAAGCTGGGTGGAGTCAGATCTTTCTCAGGATGGCTTTCAGGTCAGGATCAAGAGGAAAAGGCCATCTTACAATACGTAACTAGAATTGTGGGGCTTTTTGGCATTTCCTTACTAAGGTGGCACCTGCATTTGGAACATGGGAAAAATAGAAATGCAATACAGTATAACACAGAGATCATACATGGGTAGTATGAGGTGGCATCTGGCCCACAGATGTATTTTACGTGGGATATATAATGTGTTTAAAAATGAGCCAATATTTTAAAACTGGGAGATTTCACTTTAAGTCCAGATTTTGGTTTCTCTTGAAGAACTGGTGAGTGTAAAACACTGGGTCACCATATTCCCCCATGGCAAGGGTCAGCTGGAGCTGAGTGGTGACTGATCCCTTCAGACAGGCCTGTACCCTCCAGTTTGTGAGAGGCACCACCACTCAATTTATCATCATGATGGCACTAATGTTTTACCTGTAGTAGCAATCTATTTCTCTATGCCCATCTCTCTGTCAAAGGAGGGAACATGGAATTCAGCCCGAGAGTGCTGAGAGCTGAAAAGAGAAACTTCTCTGTAGAAGTAAAAAATACCTCATTGCCTGGTCTGTTTATTCATTTATGCTGTCTGACTTCTTTAAGCATTTGCGTTTTTGACCCTTGATATGACAGAGAGAACGCAGACAAGGACTCCTGAGACCTGAGCTCAACTCTGGCTCAGGGCATGACCTTGGACAAGACCATTTCTAATTCTCTCTCTAAAACACTGAATAAGTTAATACGACAAATAGGCAGAGTTTGTAAAATTACACAGAGAACTGCACCGCCTGAGATAGCAAAACCTTTGGCAAAGAGTTTACAGGCAAGAAAAACACATCACAAAGGCAAATTTAAAATTTAAGAATTTTAGGTTCCATGATCATTTTGCTAAGACAAAGCTATCTTATTGCTTGATGGGTTTTTCTCTATTAAAATCAGTTTTATCTATTAGTCTTTTCTTTTTTTTTTTTTTAATAGGAGATGAAGCAATCTGCTCTTTTTTTAAAATTGTATTTATTTATTTATTTTTGGCTGTGTTGGGTCTTTGCTGCTGCGCGTGGGCTTTCTCTAGTTGCAGCAGGGGGGAGGCGGCTATTCTTTGTTGTGGTGCGCGGGCTCTAGGCACATGGGCTCAGTAGTTGTGGTTCGTGGGCTC